ACGAGTGGAGATTGAATGTAAATTTATATTCTAACTAACGACGTAATATTTCATCGATTCATTGGGAGGGTGAGAGGATAGCTTTACGAGCCTTTGTTCGCGATTCTGAACGAATCCCTTGTCGAAAATTATAGATGTGCTACGATTTTAATTAATCGAGAAAGAGAGAGAGAATAAAAAGAGAATAAAAATAGGATAGAGAATAGAGAAATTATTGGAATCATTTATTAAGATTGTTTTGTATATTATTTGTAATCGAAATAAGAAGGGAAATGATGAGGAACGGGGAGATACAAAGTTGCTCTGAATTGCTCGGATTATTTAAATTACCCGTTCAACGTGACGCGATCGAGAGATCCAATCGAGTGCACAATTATCTTTCCTATTTTTCTTCTCTTCCTTCCTCTTTCTTCTTCCTCTCTCAAAAATTGGAAATTTTAATCTTTCGATGTGAAACGCTCACTGGTAATAATGGTGAATATTTGAATGGCAACAGAACGTTGAAAGTGTTAACCGCGGTCCTCTTGACTGTTCCAAATCGGTGGAGCAGATGTGCGTTCCGATTTTGAAGAGTCCGCGACCAAAGGCCGAGATATTTCCGGCAATATGCTCCAACGTATTTCCTATAGCGTCGTTGATTCGAAAGTTTAATAGTTGAAGTCGTTTTAACGATTTAAAACGTAATAATAAATCGCAAATAATCGTAAAAATGGCAAAGAAACGGATCAATTATAATTACGAATAAATATTATTCTTTATCTCTTTGTTCGAAATTTTTAACTAGGTATTTTTTCAACGGATTAATGGCCAACTCTGGCTCACAGCGTGAAAGAGACACGGCGTAAAACTGTCGTCGAATCGTGGATTGAAATCGATCGTCGCGCATCCCTTTGTGAGAAAAGTCTCCTGTATTTCTCTCCTTACGCTTGGAAATCTTTTTTCCTTTCGAGTTCCAAGCTTCTCGAATGCCTGTCTAGAACAGCGACGGGAAAAATTTTACGGTTAAAGTTATTTCCATAAGTTGCTTTAATTTATTCTTCGAAAATAATAATAATCGGAAATAATGGGAAAGGTCGAGTTTTTTTTATGAAAGTTAATTATAATAGTTGGAAATAAATGTTATTCGAGCGTTCTAATAAGTAATTACTTGAGATAACTTCACTCGAGATTTTTAACTAATTACTATTTCAACTTGGATCAATGCCCAATTCTGGTCTAGAAGGAGAACGTACGTTACGAATTTGTGTTAATAACGTGATGCGATAATCTGGAGATAGAAAAAGAAATGGAGAAAAATTAGGAAAAATTTGATCGAAAAAAAAAAAATTAAGACGCACTTCACTTCGAGTTCTTCGATAAACCCAGACGATTTCGATTTGACATTATGGGTCGATCGATCGTCCGGAACAATTCTCTCGGGTTAAACCTGAGAGACCGAGTCTCGCTTTTGCTAATCGAATTTAGCGACGTCGAGCTGACCGCGTGTACCTTTCGTATAAATATATCTTTCTTTCACAGAATTTCAAATATAACGTGAAAATTGGATTACCCAGTCCGGATATCGAGTTTTCATTCTCATTTTTCTTTCGAACGAATGTAATTTTAAAACCGTGGTTTTCGTATCTCGAGCCGTATGACACGACCAGCGTTTGCGAACAGTAGTTCCGATTCCCTCCGCTGGATGGATAAAAACGATCGACGCTCCATCTGGAAGAGAAACAGGGAATTATCGTTATTTCTCGAGGACACGCGATTTTTTCGGTGGAAAGAAGGATTTAAAGCGAATGAATCGATACAGTGTGCAACCTACTTGAGAGATTTCTTTACGTTCTTACCTTTGTACGAAACGTACGTTCCACTTCCTCGAAGAATAAAGTTGAAAGCGAGGTCGAGGGGAGGGTTAGAATTTGAATAATGTATCGGATTGAATTCGCATTTCAATTGGTTGATTCGCGATCAATTGTAGATAAATGTATACACGCTTGGATCTATAGAAGTATAACGTAATTTTTTTTTTTTTTTTTTGCGAGAAATTTGTCGAGATTGAATTAAAGAGAAAATCGTACATAAATTGATTCCTATATTAATTTCATTGGAGGAATATTCAATTCAAGTGAACGAAAATGACTTTGCATTACCTATTGGCGTAAAAGTTATCGACAGAGTTGAAAAAGTAACTAGTTAAAAATTTCGAATAAAGACTACTTTAAATAATTACTTATTAAAACGTTTGAATAACATTTATTCGTAGTTATTATAATCTCAGATCGTCTTGCATTACAATTATTATTATATTTTGAACGATAAATTATCGAAGTAAAATTTATTCCATAATTTCAATTATTAAATTTTTCCCTATCACTGGTTACACTATTTCAACAATGATAATACGGCATTAAAAAAAAAGAAGACGAAAGTAAGAAAAAATGTTTACACATATCATTAACTTCCAAAATTCTTTGCTCGTTTTGAACAAACATCGCGTTATATATTCCTACGACTATCCATAAATTTGGACGAAATGTTAATCCGAGATAAACGAAAAGAAAATTAGATCGTGCGTGATGGCCGAGGGGGGCAAGCAAGCAGCAGCAGCAGCTGCTGCCAGATGGTTGTTTCGAAGGATCCTCGTAGGAGGGGGCGTCGAATTAGGCGATCTTCACGACTTTTTCCAGAATGTCTAGTCGATCGCGTCCGGCCCATCTGCTTCTCGACGTTAATCTCTCAACCATTCTTCGATGCGCGACGATAACGAATGATACATCCGTGTTCATCATTTTTACGAGTTTTCGTAAATGTAATCAAAATATAAAAGAAACAATACAAAAAAAAAAAAAAAAAAAAAAAAAAAAAAAA